AAGAGACTTCTGTGCCTTACGTAAGTCGTGTTCCAGATTCACACGTTTGAGTAAGAGGCAGACAGTGTAAATCCCAGCTCCTGGGCACTCAGTGGCATCATCATAACCAGAAAATCCCCTCAGATTCCTCCAAGCCTATCTCTGGCTTCATTTATATTACCCTGGGGTCCTAAAGGTTTATGATTCCTGAGAAAGGAATCCGGTTACCAGAAATATTTAAATTCAAGAAAAGAAGAAAAATGTTAATAAAATGGCTCCCCCAGGGGTAAACTGACCTTCCAAAAATGAATCAGTTGATGGAATAATCGTCTTTAAAAAAAATCAGGGAATGCAATTTATTCACTTCCGCTTCTGATAGAAGTCTTAAAAAAGAAAGATTTAGGCTGTCCAAATACCTTGAAAGGGGAAATTTTCCATTGATTTTTCCTGATTTTTCCCCCTTATCTTACAAGCTTAGCTTTGAATTGAAGTGGAAGCTGGAGATCAGTGGAGCAACATGGCAAGGCAGAGAGAACACCAGTATAGAAGTCAGGAAACCCAGGGTCCAGTTTCTACTTTGCTTCTAACTCGCTTTGTGACTTGTGACAAGTTACTGACCATCTTCATCTAAATTTCATCTTGTATGATTCAGCTGTGCAGAACCACTATGTACACGACTCAGAGAGAATGCCTCAGAAGCTGGTGACTTACTTGTTACCATCAGCCTAACTTTAAAGCCTGATTGACCCCTTGGTGACACTAGGAACTAAAATTTGTGGAATGCTTCCAAATGTCATGAGACTCTTTCACATGATGAGCATGACAATCCCGTCCAGGAGATACCTTGATCCCTATTTTATAGAAGAGATCAGAGAACAAAGGGACTTGGACAAACTCATGGTGCAACGAGTAGAGATTACAGACTTCAGCCCAGACCTGGCTGATGCCAAGTCCAGTATCTTACCAGCACACATGCTGCTCCTCTGCAGGGAGATTCTTGAACCAGGGATCTTAACTGGCATGTGGTTTCTAAGGTCCCTTCCAATTCCAATAGCCTGTGCTTCTATCAATAACATGAGGGCATAATATTAAACCAGGGGTTTCAAAAATTTCTTATAGCAGAAAAGATCCTTCCTCTCAAATGAAATCTACTCTAGTATGCCAAAACATAAAATAGATAATTGTGGCTTCCTCTGGTTGAAAAAGAGATGCCTTCCACCCAAATGTCCCTCAAGTGACAAATACATAATAAAATGTGGTGTATCCATATAATGGAATATTATTTGGCCATAAAAAGGAATAAAGTGCTGATACATGCTACAACATGGGTGAACAGTGGAAACATAATGCTGAACGAAAGTAGCCAAACACAAAAGATGGCATTTTGTATGATTCCATGTACTTGAACTGTGCAGAACAGGTAAATCTGAGGACAGAAAGTAGGTTGGTGGAGTGAAAAATGCGGAGTGACTGCTTAATGGGTATGGGGCTTCCTTACTACTTGGAAACAGAACCTTCCATTGTAGGGGTGATGGTTGTATATCACTGTGAATGTACTAAATGCCACCAAACTGAGCACCCATAAATAGCTGGCTTTGTATTATGTGAAATGCACCTTCATATATGTGTATGTATAACAATATGATAGTTCCAGAGTCCCAACCCATCAGCCTCCTCATTCCCATGTCCTTTCAGTGCCTCCAAAGAACCCTAGTAAATCAGAGTCACTAGATATTGCAAAACACTACCATAGTTCAAAATAGTTCTCATATGACAGCTTTTTTATTCCTTCAGGTGCCCAGAGGTATTTTCTCCTAACACAACAAATATGCCTGGGTGAGTAACATCTTGCTACTTGGAAACAGAACCTTCCATTGGCAATGAGTTCCAAGGTCAATGCTAGGCCACAGTGAACTAGCAGCTTCTGTTTTAGGATATGTTATTGGTTTTAAATTCAAAATTCTACTTTAAGTATTATAGGAAAGACAATGGTAACTAAGCTTTATTTTTTGTTTGGCTTTTCATGTTCTAGTAGATGATTTTATTGTTGAGTAGTAAAGTAAGCATTATCAAGTGCTTACTGCATATTAAACATTTTTCATGTGGTTTCTCTTAAATGTCATTATCCCCATTTTATAGAGAAGGACACTGAGGCTCAAAATAGCTCTGTAACATCCCCAAGGTCAGGATTTGAATCTGTCTCTTCAGTTTAAGAGAAGGCTCTTTCAACTATGTTGAATGGATGTCATCAGTCCTGCCACCACAGAAAGCATGCAGACTGTTTTCAGGGCCACTACAAAACTGGCACAGCCTGCAAGCCCAGAGGCATGTGGTGATGTATGGCACAGGGGTACGTGCCTCTGGTGCCCTTCTGATGCCTCTCTGCAACCCCTCAGAGCAGGCTGGAGACAGGAAGTATTCAGAACACTTCTCTATATTTTTTCTTCAGTCTGTTTTGGGGAAAGTAAAGACCCCATTTAGGGGTCTTACTGACCAACTGTACCTAAGGAACCAATGAGGGACACTTCAGACTCTTTTGATGAAGAGTTGATGGGAAAGGCTATGATTCCATTTGTTTAAAAAGGTTTAGATCCTATTCAAATGGTTCAGATCCTATTCAAACGCAAGAAACTCTGGCCTCTTAAAGGTAACTTACAGTCCAGAAGTCTATGTGACATCATTTTCAGCAGTTGGAGTGACATGGTCTCAGATATGGACACATGTGATTTAGCCCACAAAACTGTGCATTGTCTGCAGGCACAAATATGGTGCTTTTTCAATTTATTCTGAAGCTTTTCTATACAAAGGAGTTGGGAGTAATTTCAGCCTTTTTGTCTGCATGGTAAAGCTACCAAAATGATAATAATTATTCCTTACATATAAATGCACTTTACAGATTACAAAGTGCTTTCATGGACAATCGCTGATGGCTTAAAAAAAAAGGCAAAAGTAAGGACAAATGACATTTAGCTATTAACATACACCCTTCTAATTGTAGGTAAGAAAAAGGTGGGATGAAAGGGTTTTTATATTAGAACTGAAGTCATGTTCTTGAAATTCTAACTGTTCCTGGTTATCAATAAAAAAAGTCAATGCTTTTTAAATTAAAATGAAGTGCCCCCACTTATGACTTGGTAAGTTATAGGATGCTTTTCCAATGCTTCCCAATGGTCCTGTGTCCCACTGCTATTGAATTTTAGATCTGCAGCTCATATGGATGATCCAGAATGCCCGGTGTAGGTAAAGAAAAACCAGCAGGACAAGAAAAAGAATCACGTTTTTGATGCCATTCAATGTAAAAGTGCAGTAATAGCCTCACATCACTCCCTGGTTTGGGAGGCAGAGGTTAAGAAGGCTCAGGCCACATAATGGCCTTTGAATTTGTTCCCACCAAAGGAATCAGAATGCTAAGATGTCAAAGTCACCTTCAAAAAACTACCACTGTGCCATAGTGGCAGGGACAGCCACCAAAGTCTCCCCACAGTACCACACGGTCTCTCAAAACCTAATCTCTACTGGTGAAATCAATGACCATTAGAGAGTGGATTTTCAAGGAATGAGTCTTATTGCAATTAATCTGACCAAATGCAATCAATCCACTGCCTGCTCTTAGGGATGGCTACAGAAAGCAGCTACATGCATGCACAAGAGGACACATTAACCGGCTGCTGTGGTGTTTGAACTCTCAGGATTCGGCGGACCTGACGCACCACCACTTTGAAGCCCTTATTGTTGGAAGCCACATCTGGTAGGACCAACCCGCACAAACCACAGGTGAACATCTTTCCTGAGTCTTACCAGCAATGGTGAAGAACACTCCAGAGTAAAACTCAGCCTTGCAGGCACCGTCCAGCGTGACTCAGAGCATGACAAACACTCCTTCAGAGTGACATCTCCTGCAGGACAGTGGCACTCAACCTCAGCTGTGTGGTTCAATCACCTGGGAGCCTCAAATACTCCTGCGGCCAGGCCTTCCGCCCCGGCTAATTAAAATCAGCATCTCTAGAAGTGGGGCCCTCACGCTGCTGCTTAGGAAAGCCCTCCAGATGGTTTTAATGTGCAGCCAACAGGGATAAGTACTACTGAAAAGTGACTCTAACAATGTCGGGCTTGAGCCCACTTGGCGAGGGGCCGCAGGACAGGAACCTGCAAGAAACCACTTGCTTAGGGAAGTCAGCATTCCTTGCATTCTTGAACCACAGCTGACAAGTGTTTTATTTGTCTGCAAGCAGTTGGGGCAATCTGATTCATCGGGGGTTCGAGGAACACTATTTGAAATGCCTGTGTGTGATTTTTTTGCCTAAAACAGGCACAATGATATTTACTCAGCCCTTACTCTGCGAGAGCCAGGAATTTGGTAAAAACAAACAAAATACCCAAGTGAAATGTCATTCATTTCAAGGGTGATTCTATGGAGGGAGGGCAGGGCACATACTCCTACCACCAATCCCAGTGTCACATCCACTGGGTGGGTGGGCTGGAGAGAAATTACAACTGTTGTAAATATTATAGACCTTCCAAAAGTTCCTTAGATTGGTTCTGTAAATGTTGAGACACAAAGCTTATACCACAAGAGTGCAAACATCATGAACAAATACAAAGTAAGCGATCCTTACCACATCCAAGTTACCTGGGGCCCTGTTCCTCGTTTTATTTTATTTTGTCCCCATGCCTGAGAATTTCAAAGAGAAGCACTATGTGAACAGCGGTCAGTGAGAGGAGATCCTCTCACTGAGTGAAAGCGGGTTTTTAGAAGAGACTTTCCAGATTCTGATAACAATCAGTTAGAAATTCATCAGCTGAACCCCAAATGTCAGATTCATATACAAAAGTCTCCATCTCCTGATATTGAGCAACTATCTTTGGAGGCTGCTATTCATAAATGAAAATGTGAAAATATGATTTATTAGATTAACAGGCAAATCTCACTCACAATGTTAACGTGTTCTAAGAATTTAACTTACCTGCTTATGACATGGGAGGCAGAGCTGACAGAAATAAATGATATAAAATATACTTACTGGTTCTCTCTTTTCTTCTTAAGTGGGTCCATGAGGCGCAGTGTGTCTCTGATCACAGCCACTTTCACTTCTTCATCAACAAGGCTGGGGACATTTTCAAACACCCCTGGAGAAAGCTTGAATGGGTAAGGACTCCGTGTTACAATGGAGAGAGGGGATTCAGTGCCACGTTACTATCAGAGCTCGTGATGGTGATTGCTTATGTTAATCTATAGAAGAAAATCTTTTAAAGGCTGCCTTTATACTACCTTAAAAATACCAGTTTCCTTTTGCAAATCAACAAAATATATGAAGAGGAAAAATAGCACTATGTTTTTCTAATTATCGAAATTATACGTGCTCACTGTAGAAAATTTGGAAATATACAAGGGATTAAGAAAATTTAGGGAATCCACATCATCACCCCCTACAAAACCCAGTATTAGTATTTGGTGTATTTCCTTGCAGTCTTTTTTTATGCTTTTTCAGCAGGGGAGACGGGGAGAGAAATACTACCACTGTTAAATGTACTATTTATCTTAGTGAATCCAGGCATGTCGACATGGCTAAATCATATTCATAGAATTTCAATTAGTTCATCTCCTGAGGCGAACTAATTAGTTCATGTCAGAACTGATGGGAAGGCTCAGCTGCTTCTATGCTTGCAGACCTTAAAAATCGGGAGAATGGCATGATGGGAGATTACCATGGGTTAGATGGGTCTTATATTAATAGACTATGTTCAGAGCTCAACAAAATTGAAATTATCTAATCTTGAACAGAACTTTTCTGTGCAAATCTGGGGATGTTGAATCCTGTTTAGCCAAGCAAACTAGGAGAGAGTGGGAACATTCAGTTGTATGGCAACATATCCAATGAGATACTCAAAACACTTACTTCTTGCTCATGCTCGATTCTCATGCTGGGATTTGCATTTACTTCAAGAAGCATAGGCTTCAGATTTTTCATTAGAAGAATGTCGAAGCCTAAAATCTGGGAAGGAAAAACATAATTCAGAATTACTCCCTCTAGCTAGAAGTTCTTTTCAGGAACTGAGTATGGTATTAGGTCATCGAGGTGAAAATAAATTCAAACCCAGCCCCTGAGCTGGGCCTTGACCCTGGCTTCTCTTGTCTACAGCCCCTCTTCCTCTGGGTGTACTTGTCAGGCCAAATGGACAGCAGAAAATTTTATAAGAAGCTTGATAACAAGATGATTCCCACAGTGCATTTCAGCACCATCGGTGTCATCTGAAGTGCTGTAAGATGATGACCTCTACTTTAACAGGCTTTTTATTATGTTAAGGATCCGTGGTAGTCCTTCAATTTCTCCCTCTCCTGCTCTTCTCTATTAGGCTGCTCCTGAGCTAGATTTCTGAAAACTCAAGGCTACCTTTCTGAACATCGGGGCACACCAGTATCACTTAAGGACCCCTTTTAAAACTACTGTTCTTCCCCAACCCACACCTATGAGTTAGGATCTTTCACAGTAGAACCCAGGGAAATATACTTCAGAAAACAATACCCCAGGTGATTCTGATTACCATCTTAGCTCAGGAGAAGGGAATACTTATTAGACTTCACCTAGGCACCAATTGCTATACAATTGCACCCATTATTCACAATCTCATTTAATCCTCATGACAGTGTAAACAAAGTGGGGACTCTGTTTTCCATTTTACAGAAGCAGAAACTGAGTCCCAGAAAGGCCAAAGGAGTTTGTGGATAAAATGAAGGTTCCTGTGGCCAGGATTCTCACCTGGCCCTGGTTGGCTGGCTCACTACACACATGTGAGCAATGCGTCGTTATTGACTTTATATGAAGAGCCCTGCCCAGTGCTCTGGGCAACGTGGCGGCACGGCTGCAAGGCTGCAGGAGAGCAGAGCAGAGGCTGGAGTGGTGGTAGCACCGAGGACAGAGACTGGGACGGCTGTGCAGGCAGAGAGGCCCAGAGGCAGAGACGGGCTTGCTGCACGCAGACTCGCTCTGAGTGAATGGGATTTTAGTGATTGCCCTGCCGCCATTGAAATAAAGTTGGGTATAATCCTTTCACCCCAAGAATGTTCTTCTGTCATTTCTTTGGTCACATTGAATCCATAGTGAACTTGCCCGGGGCTGAAACCCATTAGCAAGACAGAGTTCCCTAAAACCACCTAGCTGGAAGGGAACAGAGATGGGGTTCACATCCAAGCAGGACTGGTTACATAATTTGTGGGACCCAGTGCAAGATGAAAATGTGGGGCCCCACTTGTTCAAAAAGTATTAAGAATTCCGTGATGACAACAGCATTAAGCCTGGCATGCAACCCTTCTGAGCATGGGGAGCTATGTGACTGCACAGGCCACGTGCCCCTGAAGCTCGCCTATGCCCAGGGCTAACTCCAACACCATTTGTCCTTGACAGCTGCTCTTGAATCCAGCAGGCTGCCTCAAGTGGCCTCTCTCGGTTCCTCCCAAGCCCTATGATCCGGGTAATCCACCCCATGCATCTCATTCCCTCAGGTAACTCCTCCGCATCCCTGAGACTGCAGGTCCCAATTAGATTCAGACTTGAATTTAGGAACATCAGATTCTTGGGAGAACTCTCATTATCTCTACAGGAGGTGATAAGGTAGAAAGTTTCTAACATAATGAATATAATTCCAAAATTCCAAAAAAATAATGTGGTGGATAAAGGAAAGAAAAGAAAAAGAGCTGAATCCTCTCCTCTGTGGACTCAAGAAGAAAAGATGAGTGAAATCCATTTACTTGTCTACATAGAATATGCATTAATTAAAGGATAATTACTGAACTGTAGCTTCATCCTTATTCATGAAATCAGAGCCAGAAAGACCATTTTGGGGGGTAATTCAAGATGAGGTTATTCTTCAACGAAGGGCAGTAAGGATGAGAAGTTGAGAAAAGTCATCCTCACTCTATTTTTCTTTCCCTGGTCATGAAATTAAAGGAATGGGAATTCAGTAGAAAATGTCACATGCATTATAGAGTCATTTAATAATATATGACAAGTGGATATGAGTGATGAGGACTTTAAGACTCTTTGGTGACATCATCAGTCTAACTTCAGACCTGGTCTGAGACATGTGATGCCAAGAGGCTACAGAGAACAGTGGGCTGCAGTGCCAACATTTATCATCCTGAGTCATCAACTTACGTTTTTGCTACATTTGAGACGCTTGGACTTGTTCTTTCTCAGCCTGGTGGGCTCTTCCAGTTCAATGCACAGTAGTTTGGTGAATGTAAAGCCCTAGTAAAGCTGGAGAAGGAACATGGCAAAACCTAACAGCCATATTGACCTGCACCCACGAGTGGCACAGTATTTTCCAGAACCTAAACTTTAATGCATGTACTTGAATATGTTGGCTCTTGTACAGAAATGCTTTGGAATCAGAAAATCTTGGGCTCCAATCCCAGCTCGGTCTCTCACACTAGCTAGACAATTCTAGATATGGTGCTTCGCCTCTCTGAGCATCACATACCTCAACTGAAAAATGGGCATAACAGTAGTGACCAGGCAGTCTAGTTGATAATGGGAGCAGAAAGTATCTAGGATTCTGCTCATCGTATAGGAGGTACTCAGTGTGTCCTCCCTTTCCAGTTTCCTACTAATCCCACCAACGAGGAACAGCATTAAGTGGCTTTCATGTCCAGAGGAGCTCATTTCAAATAGTTCTGTCTACTTTGTGTAACTACAGGCAAGTTACTTGGCAGCCTCAGCCCCAGTTTCCTCGTCTGTGTAATGAGGATAAGAATAGTACTTACCTTAGTTTACTCATTCATAAAATATTTATTGAGTGCTCCCTATGTCCTAGGAACTATTATAGCTTCTAGAAATACCATAGTGGACTAGACAAAGTCCCTGCCCTCATAGAGCTTACCTTCTAGCAGGGGAGATGGGATCAAATAAAGACAATGTGATGTGAAATATTGTGCACAGTGCCTGACACACAGTGAGTATTTAATGAAGATGAGCTTTATTTTTGACAAGGAAATATGAATTATTTTCTTTTCAAAACTTCAAAGAAATATGTAGCACCAATGGATCTCAATAAACAGAATTACAGAACTGGGAGGAGCTTAGAGTTGATCTTAAAATCCCAGAATATCAGAGCTGGCAGAAAATCTGGAATTTACTTGGTCCAGTGTTTTTCAAAATGGCATTTTTTTTGGCAGGGGAGCCCTGAGGAGGCCAGATCAGATCAACTTTTACCTATTTTACATACTGGGGCTTCCCTGGTAAAAAGCTTTTTTTTTTCCTTTCTAACTACTAGCCTAACACCAACTTTATACAGACCAAAACCTGCAGCTTAGCAAGGGGAACTCTCCAGTCTGGTGACAGAATACGAACTGTCAAATGGAGAGAGAGAACTTTTCAATCATGGGGTTCTCTGACCCCTTCCAAGTAATTCAATCAGCATGTGTTGCACACCTCTGATTTGAGGACTGCCCTGGGGACTCAAAGATATCTGTCCTTTATCCCTGACTTCTAGAAGCTTCCAAAGCAAACTGGGGAGGAAAAGGCCCTGACATGCAAAAGTTCCAGTGAGAGGTGATCTCACCGGAGCCCCAGAACTACACATCCATTTGTATCCACTCTTCTCAACCGGGAGAGCAGACTCCTGGAAGTCAGCATACGCAGGCTCAGTATCCATGGGCAGCCTCCAGGATGGTCTCAGTGATCCCACCTCTTGGAAATCATGTCCCTGTGCATCCCCTCCTCTGGAGTTACTGACTTGTTTCTAACAAATACAAATGGGCAGAAATGATGCTATGTCACTTGCAAGAGTAGGTCATAAAAAGGCTGTGGCTTCCATCTGGGGACGCATTCCCTTCCTCCCTCCCTCCCTCACTCCGAGCGAGCCAGCTGCCACGTTGTGAGCTGCACGATGAAGAGGCCACGTGGCAAGGAACTGATGTCTCTGCCCACCAGCTGGAAGGACCTGAGACTGCCCGGCAGCCTGGGAGTGAGGTGGGGAGAGGATCTCTCCCCAGTCAACCCCTGGCCAACATGTTGATTGCAGCCTCGTGAGAGACTGTGAGCCAGAGGCAGTCAGCTGCACCTAGATTCCTGATCCACAGAAACTGTGAGATAATTACTGTTTGTTAGTTTAAGCTGCTAAGTTTTGGGGTAATTTGTTACATGTAGCAATAGATATTTAACACATCATCTTTCTCTAAAACCTACTTTGCTTCCTGTATGCCTTACCCTCTCCATCACATTAGTCAAAAATCTCTCCTTCATCCTTCCCATCTAGCAGCTTACCAACTCCTGACATTCTAGCTCCTCAAGAGCTTTCTAGATCTGGCCCATCCTCAGGGCTCCTGGTCTGGAGCAGGTCTGCACCATCTGTCACCAGGACTACATTAGAGCTTCCCCATTAGCGTCCCTGCTCTCAAACTCACCCCCAGGTCATCTGGCACAGGGGGCTGCCAAAGAAATTTTTCTAAATTGCAAATCGAATATTAACACTCCCTGCCAAAAATCTTTGCCTACAGACTGAAGCCCCAGTTCCACAGCCTGTTCTACAAGTTCCTCGGTGACCTGGCATCTGTCTCACACTCCAGCTTGATTTCCTCCCACTCATTACCGCATAGCCTGGGCTCTGGTTGTGCTGAACAATTAGTAGTTCTAGAATGCCTTAGTGTTCTCTGCCTTTATACTCATCTGCCTGGAAGACAACTTTATTTATCAAATATTTATTGAGTACCTACTAAAGACTAAGTACCATTCTAGGCACAGCAGAGAAAGCAGCAAACAAGACAAAGGCTGTTTTGATATCCTGCCTTCTTGGAGCTTACATTCTAGTGGAGAGGGAGACTGCAAGCAAGTTAAAAATTAAAGCTAAGTAAGAACACAGAGTGTGATGTGGTGGGTGGGGAGAAGGGTGTGGAGGTTTCCACAGAATGATCAGGAAGGCCTTTCTAAGGTGACGTTTGTCATCCCATTGTCTTCTAGCTTGCAGTTTCTGATGAGAACTTTCCGGTTATTCTTTG